GGGGGTTGGAGTGGGAGAAGGTTGCCCACAATAGTGATAATTGGGCAGCCGTGCACAAGCAACTTGGACACCCGGTTACAGGGGCACAACTGCAAATTGGGCGTAGGGTGGGGAGGGTGGCAGGAGGTTACCAACAATAACACAAGCAATTTTGGACACCCGGTTACAAGAGCACAACTGCAAATAGGGGTGGGGGGTGGGGGGGGGAGAGTGGGAGAAGGTTACCGACAATAGTGGTAATTGGACACCCGGTTACAAGGGCACAACTGCAAATAGGTTGGGGGGGCGGGTGGGGAAGGGGAAGTGGGAGAAGGTTACCGACAATAGTGATAATTGGGCAGCCGTGCACAAGCAACTTGGACACCCGGTTACAAGGGCACAACGGCAAATGGGGCGTTTCCCTGACAGAGTGCGAACTTTTGGCGTGCTTATATCCGAAATGTTTCCAAAACAGACTGAGACCATGGAGTGGCGTCTGTTCAGGAATTGGGGATGAGGAAAGAGGATGGGAAGATCGGACTCTGATGCGGCAGGCCTTGAGCAGGACCTGCGACAGGTCTGTTCGTAGCGCAATTGGCTCTAGGACAGGGAGAGGCCGCGCGAGGCCGAGCGAACAGGCCGGCTGGAACCTGAATATTGTGGCCCTCCGGCCTCCTCTCCGCCTGGGACCGCGCACGCGAAGCTGAATACACATTTCGTACATAACCCGTGACTTCGCCTCCCGCTGTCCTCTTTCGTACTCTTTGTATCGATACAGGCGTTCCCGTAGTTTACGTCCGGCAAAATGAGGTATGGTGGGGTTTCTCGTGCTTTGATCCTCTCTAATCAATGGGTGAACGATGATCTTCTCAGGGAAGCGGCATGTGGGAATGAATGGAATTTGTTGGTGGATGGGAGCAGGCAGGGAGCCATCGGCTCACGGTAGAGCAGTTATCGGTGTTGCGGTGCCGGAGGAGCGTTAATGGTGTAAGGCCATTTAGTGCCGATGGAAGATTGGGGCAATTTAAGAGGGAACGAAATATGCGCGGTCAGGAAGATATGGCGTGGAGCAGAGAAATTAGGGTTTCTCGGCCAGAAGAAGCGTGCGGCGGGGATGGGCTTTGAGGCAGAGAGGTGGTGGGAGATTGAAGGAGGGGAGGAAGATTGCGGGTTTCAGGAAGGCCTATAATTTGGGAGCAGAGAAATTAGGGCTTCTCTCGGCAAGAAGACAAATGCGGCGGCGGTGATTGGATTCGGGGCAGAGTGATGGTGATCGGACCTTGGGCGTCGCTCCTCGATTAGGTTGATTGCGAGATATCAGATCTAACATTAATTTTCGTATTTTGGTTTTGCACGTTTCAGGGACATGTCCGTGTTTTGCTGATAGTTATGCCTGCCCTCTGTATCTGTGCTTGGCTTGTAAAATTTGTCGTCATTTATGTGGGGTGTGCGGTTGCATGTCCTCTATGGTGTTTTCAGTGTTTCAATCTTTTTGTTGGAAGTATTTCCAGTCTGTAAGTATTTTTTTTATTATATTTGAAATGAGGATTTCGTGTTTGTACTACGTCGCTAGTAGATGGTACACGTGCTAACCTATTCTCCACGACGATTCGTTGGCTTCTTTGTCCACCTTTACTCATCTTTTCGCAGCAAGCTCCAGGGCGAAGTGGTGCGTGAGGCGATCACACAGATCGTAACAGAGTCCAATGAGAAGAAGAGGAAGTTCACGGAGACGGTCGAGCTTCAAATCGGCCTGAAGAATTATGATCCTCAGAAGGACAAGCGTTTCAGCGGGTCGGTCAAACTGCCGCACATCCCGAGGCCGAAGCTGAAAGTGTGCATGCTTGGAGATGCCCAGCATGTGGAAGAAGTAAGTCTATGCCCTGCTATGATCCCAATCACTCGGGGGATTGAGATTGAGAGGCTGCTTGTCATCTGTAGTAGGAAAGTAAATCGTCGCTAATGCTGGGACTCTAGCTATTCTCCTGTAAGCCAGACCTAATTGTTGAGATTCGGTTGCTTTAAAACTAGTTGGAATTGCATTGTTCGAAAACCCTATTAGCGGCCACTTATCTATTGATAAGAGGTCGATGTAGCCATCGTAGTTGTATCCTGATTCCCTGCTGATTGATGAACGGCGGAGCCATGGCGTCTCGTGCATGCAGGCGTCTATCTGGTGGTCCTATTTCGTAGGCAAGTATTTAAGCTGTTGTTGCGGGGAGTAGGTTCTTTAGAGCAGAAACAAATGTGATGTTTGAGTACGGATTTGCAAGTCAAAACAATCCACAAGGGAGTGACGGGAACAGTCTTCCCCCGAATAGAACTCTGTGCGGTCATGATGCCTGTATGTGGTGCAAATTTCACTCCAGATAGTGGTACTGACCGAATCGGGGGAAGACTGCAGTCACGTGAAACTTTTGTGCAAACGATCGTGATCAGACTAGCAGCCCTGAGTGGGAAATTCACCTTGCCGTCGCATGATACGACCGCTTTTCCTGCTGATGTCTCTTTTCTTGAAACCCTCTGAATTGCGTAGGTCTCAAGAACTCGGTTGGGAAAGTGCTGTGGACACGTTTGCTTCGTGTGGCTTTTGCTCCCTCTTTCTCTCTTGCTTCTCTTGCCCTATCAAAGTGCTTGTTGCCTTCCTTTCTGCCGTCTTGCTCTCTTGTCTTGCTCTCTTGCTTTTCTTGCCTTAAATTTGAGTACGTGCTGCATTCCTTGCTAGTCTCCCCCGAACACAACGATATTTTCGGTCAGGTACAGCCAAAATGATTGCGTTGTGTTTGGGGAAAGACTGTAGTCGGCGTAAACTTGGCGCCGCTGTTGGACTGGTTTTCGTCGTCCTCGTGTTGTAAAGAAACGTCGTAGCACGTGACTTGGAGTGAAGGTCTGCTTGAGAGGCATTGTCCTCGCTGTGATGAGATCTGAGCCGTTTGTTTGAGTGAGCTCGGTGTAGGGTTGCTTTTCTTATACCGAACGCGCTCTGATCAAATTTGTAGGCTGGACAATAGGTGGGTGTCTGATCAGGAAATTCTGAATGTTGTAAGCAGTAATATCCATTTCATTCGTATGCTCTCAACGATTTTTGCTCAACGTTTTTTTGGTGACCAGCTCCCCGGCAGGCGTGCTCTCGAAATTATCAGTGCGGGAAGGTTTTTGGCGACGTCGACGTCGTTTGTCAATTTGTATTGGAAGATTCGCTGAGTCATTTTGTGTGCAGAATACGTAATGGATGTGCGTTGTTTTGTTGCGGCCTTGAGCTCGGGGTGGAAGAATCAGGACCGGAGTTAGGGTTGTGGGCACAGGAACGCTGTTGGTGCTGTCCCACGAGAATATGTTTTGCGATTTATCCTGACTGTTCTCGTTTTCTTTCTGCGCGATGGCAATTGATTTCTTTGCTTTACAGGCTGAGAAGATCGGCATGGACACGATGGACGTGGAAGCGTTGAAGAAACTGAACAAAAACAAGAAGCTCGTGAAAAAGCTGGCTAAGAAATATAACGCTTTCCTGGCATCCGAGGTCGTCATCAAGCAGATCCCTCGACTGCTTGGGCCCGGTCTGAACAAGGCCGGCAAGTTTCCCACTCTGGTGCGTTTCAAAGCAATCGCTTTTATTCCTGTCCCAATCAATTTAGAATCGTCCTAGCTTCTTCCAAGAACGTTGCTCATTGTATGTTACGTTGTAGTGAAACTAACGCACTGTTTATCATGAATGCGAATCCGCTCTCCTATTTTCCATTTCTCTGTCGTGACGTCCGATATACTTACGTTGATTACGACGTGCCTTTGTAGGTGGGGGGGCTAATGATCCTGGGCGAAGCATAGCACGTTGTATACGTACGTGAAGATGGGTGTGAAAATGGCTCTCTGACGTTCACAGTGAGTTTCATGCGGGAAATGGCCGCCTGAGGGCAGTGAGAAACGATAAGTTTGCCAGATCTGATTGGTTGCGAGGAAAGCAGCTCTTATCTTGCCCGAAAGGGCGCCGCAGGCGATGGGTCGCCTGAGGGTAGTGAGAGGGAAGATACCGTATGTTTTCCAGATCTGACTGGTTTTGAAGTAAGCAGCTCTATCTCACCCGAAAGGGCGGCGCTCGCTGGTGATGGATAGGCGGATGGATTATCTCCCTTCGTCTTTTGCCCTCCTTTAAGGGCTGGGAGGTGTCTCCTGCGGCAAGTACGCGGTAAGTCAATCGATGGGGCTTTTGCCCTAGAGTATAGCCTTTTTTCCCGCTCCACTCACCATTTGCAAGAAATGCACAAGTTATAGCGGTGTATGTGCCATATCTTGCGGAAGATTCATTCTCGTCTTGAACATTTGGTGAGCGGTGACGGGGGGGGCTTATGGCTGTAGTTTGCCTCTTTAGAAGGGCTTGCCCAAGAATATGACGTGGCAAGTGAGTCACGTGCACCAAGTATATCTTGTTGAGTGGTTACAGTACTCATCATGTGTAGAACCTCATCCAACCCCATCCAGCTTTCCTTGTCTTTGGTCTTAAACTACTAGTACATGCCAGTCATCGGCCGCGGGGCCCTTTAGGAGGTAGCTCACCGTCGATTTGTTTTATCGTCGGCACGCGAGCCTCTTAAAATTTAGAAGCGGCTCAATCGGACTCTCAACTTGGCTGGGGCCATCTATTGGTGCTTTAAGCCACCAGTACTTGGGTGGCTTCCTTTTGCCGATGCAGATTGCTCCCTAATTGAGTGAAGTGCACAAAGGACATTTTGTCGAGTGCATACGTCTGACATCGTGTATACGAACCAATCGAGCTTTCCTTATTTTTTCTTAGTCTCAAATGAGTTCGTGGGAGGTTTCCTTTCGCCGAAGGGGATTGCCCAGTGCGCGTGAACGGCCGCGTCGGTCAAAAATGACCGGAAAGAGCCCCCTGCGCTCGTGCACGGCCGCATGGGAGAAAAATGAGTGGAGAGAGACGGTACTGGTGGTGCTTTAGATGCGCTTGTACTTCTTTTGAGGATGACGTGGGCGTTATTTGAGTGTGGGTTTTTCTGAAATGGCAGCTGTGTGCGTTGATGCGGGCGCTTCTGCTTTTGACAATGGTGTTGACGTTGAGCAAGTGCGGATCTCTCTGCGATGACAGCGGTTGGCGCTGATGTGGCCGCTGCTGTCTTTGAAAATGCGTACCGAGGTTTATTAATGAGGTGTATATGCAGCTACTGACGTTTTGTGCATTTGTATGCTTGTGGGTGGGCTTGGACAGGTTACCCATCACGAAGTCCTTGAGAACAAGTTGAATGAAGTGAAGGCTTCTGTGAAGTTCCAGCTGAAAAAGGTGCTGTGTATGGGAGTGGCAGTGGGCAATCTTGCTATGGACGAGAAAGAGATCTTCATGAATGTTCAGATAGCTGTCAATTTCCTCGTCTCGCTGCTGAAGAAGAATTGGCAGAACGTCAGGACTCTTTATTTGAAGTCGAGCATGGGTAGGCCAGTGCGCATCTACTAAGAGGATTGTCAGGAGGTGGTTTTGTCGTCTGGGTGAATCCATTTCGATCAGCCTGACCTGGCCCTCGGGGTGATGTTGGCTGTTTCTTCGGCGTCTTTTGAAGTTTTGCTGGTGACGGCGTCAGGCCAGCGAGATCTCAAGCGGAAGGGTGGGGGGATTCGACAAAATGTAGTGGAATGACGATGGCTGAGGGCAGCGTAGGTGTGAAGTTCTGTGTGTGATTGATGGGCGTATAGCTGTCTCTTCTCTCTCTTCGAGGGGAGAAAGTTAATTACTCTGCTCGCGATACCAACAGTCAGGGTGGCGAGGTTTTCGTGTTGCTAGTGCGTCACCGCTGGTTGCTTGGGAGCTCTTGGAGCGTTTGCCTCTATGTGCGGGACTTGTTGTACTTGTCTGTAACGGATATCGATTAAAAGGCTTCAACATGAGAGATTATTCGTAAATTTTGCCCCTCGTGTTTGTCACGAACGATCCGTTCTATTTGTAAATTTGTGTTGTTGTATGTACTGTAGCTTATCGGATGGACGGCACATGAACACTCCCTAATACCGATGGCTTTAAGGGAAATGGTCGACTTTCTTCTCACCCCCCCTGCGATCCTGGCAGTCTCTAAATCTGTATTTGTTTATGTGTGTGTATTTGTGTGTTTGCGTGTGTTTGTCTGGGTGTGTTCGTCTCTGTGCGTGTGTGTGTGTGTGTGTGTGTGTGTGTTTGTAAAATCACGAACTCTCTCTCTCGTTCCATCCACGAACCATCCATGGAACAGTAAGAGGGTATCGATATGCAATGTAGTAGAAGATGCAAGGTTGGCTGAGGTTTTGTGGTTGTGTGTAAACACACCCGTCTGCAGTTGAAGCGGCACACTTGCACAGATTATATGACAACTGGCGTGATTTCAAAACGGCAGCAACCATGCTTGTCCGCCGTTTGCTCTCGCGTGGTCATGCTCCGTCAACACTGGCCCGTGGATGGACTTGTTACATTCGAGCTCGCCAGCGTCGACATCCAATACATGTAACTCGCCTTACACAATGGTTTCGACGTATGCTCCGCTGGTCCGTGCACCATCCTCTTCCACCCTCTCCTCCCCTTTCCTCCCCTTCTTCTCCCATTCCCCCTTCTTCTCCCCCT